GCCTCCGGCCTGCTGGCCCTCCGTGGCCCGGGCCGCCCCTCTCCATCCCCGCAGCGCTGCCCCGGGCCCCGCAGCGTGCCCAAGCATGGTACCCTTCGCCGCCAGCCCAGGCTTCCCCTCACACAGTGTATAAAAACAGGGTGCTGGAGCGCCCGCCCTGCCTCGCTGCCTAACCACGCTGCCTACCTGGCAGCCGCAGTAATCCGTATTTCCCTGTTTTTTGTTTCAAGGAGTGCGGCAAGCGCAGTGGCTCACCAAGACGAAGCTGGTGGAAGGTTTGCCTCCGCCGGTGCTCAGCATCGTTGACAACCCAGCTCACCAGTTCGAGGGCCTGGAGGAGAGGGTGAAACACGCCATCTCGCACGCACGGCTCTGGGACACGACAGAGGTTGCTCCCAGGAGAGAACATTATTGGTAAGTCCTCAGTTGTAGGGAGCATCTTTCTGCTGTGTGATTGTGGCTTTAGCGTAAGCCAGTCATCAAGCAGGTAGTGTAAGAACCACAATCTTTAATGTGACAAAGAAAATTCACAGAGAGGCCTGCTGTTGAGTGATTCACTTACTGTGCAAAACTGTTAGACCCTTTGTATCAGGTTGTCAACTTGGAAAAAAACAACCACCAAAACACCCAGTTCTGGATCTTGACGGTAGTACCAACATGAACACACACGCTACATTAAAGTTGCATTTTGGCCAAGGTCTGTGTTTCAACTTGAGATCTACTTCTGGCTGATGTAGAATGTCAATTTTTTAAATAACTAATGATAAACGTTGCCTCTGCCAACTTGGAAGAGGACTGACGTGTGGGATATTGATCTAAAATATGTTAACTGTTTGGAAATGTTATGCTATTATATGTTAAACATACAGTAATGTTATAGTATTTGTGTCCCAGAAGCATCTGCTTGCCATTATGATCACATTTTTATGTAACTTTTTTTTTTCTCATTCTAAAGCCCAGTACTGTTTGAAGACTTGCTACATTTGTGTCGGTCAATGGCTGTGAAGTATCCTTCTCTGACTAAAAGAATGTTGGCTAGAAACTACAGGATATCAGCTACGTGGGAAAGAGGTTAGTTGCTGCTGTGGTGGAAGCATTTAGGTCTTTTTATTAATATAAAAAGGGTAACGAAGCCACTAGCTTTAAGGATGAGGACTTGGAGAAAATGAAACAATTTCTGGGACCAGGTAATTCTTTAAATTTTAAATAGGGCTATAAGCATGGGCAGCCTTGGATGATGGCAGGATACTTGCCCTGTGAAGATTATTAGGGTTCTAGACAATATCAACAAGATGGCAGGAGAAGAGAACTAGTGTGTTAGAACTGATTATTTTTTTTTTGTGTCCAAAATCTGTACTGTTGTTTTTCTGAATATGTTCAGTTAAGAGACTAACACCAGCAATTAACACTGGTATTTTAGAAGCAGAACCTACAGCTGAGCTGCTATTTAAGAGGAGTTTGGAGGTGAGGGGGGGAGAGAGAGTGAGCCTTGCAGAACAATGACTTGGTAG